CCCTTTTCTCTCCTTTGTTTTTTTTTATCATATTTTATTTTCTTCTATAATGAGGTTTTGTAAAATCTGTGAACTCTTATATATATATGATAAGGATACGTGTAACTAACTATAATTTAAAATCTAGGATTATATTCTAAGTTTGTTGTATTTCCTAGTTTGTAGGAGATTAATTTGGTACGTTAGATTCTTTGACTGAGTGTATATATATTCATTACCATTCAATGAAAAAGGCTAAGCCATAATTTCATTAATCTATCAAGTTCTTTAATATATATATATATATATATATATATATTCGTATTGAAATACTATAACACTACAGATATCCCCATCCATTTGTTCGGGCGTTGCCCAGGTCTGGCAATTACTGTGGATAATTATAACAGACTCCCCGTGCAGTCTTTAGCATGTTCTGCAACCAAATCCGTCTTCGCTACTAGAAGCCAGTTAAGATTTTGGCAACGATGGGTAGATGATGGTGAGTATCCACTTGTTTCTCTTAATTAACATTTTATATGTATGTATTAGTTTTTTAACAATCTTCTTTAATTTCTTGTTAACAAACTTCCTTTCTCTAGCTATTGCAAAAATTGACTGCAGGAAATCATGACCTTTGAACATTTGAACACCTGACACCTCTTTCTCTCTCTCCCTTCTCATATTCTCTCTCTTCGAATAGCACCCGCATATCATCCCCCCACCCCCTTCTCTCTAACCAGAACAATCGCAAATCGCAAAAGGTGCCCAAAAACCATACATAAATCACAAAAATTCACAAAATTACGAACTTTTTCAATGCCAAAAACCATGGCACAGAATATGAAACTTTTGGAAAAATGTTTCAACACTGAAACAAAACACAAATTTCCTACAGCCACCGCCGTCGGAGAAGAACGGTAAAGCTCACGAACGGCCGAACTTGACTGCGATGGCCGCCGTTAGGTTTCTCATCGCAAGGCTAAGCCAGTAAGACCGTCGTGATGGCGATATCTTGGCTTGCAAAGATCAACGATCTTAGCTGAAGAAATCTGCAGGACATCGTCGGTTTGAGAGAGAGTGGATCGTTGGAGAAGGAGAGAGGAGAGAGAGCCGGCGGGAGGGAGGGGACGCACGGAAGAGAGAGAAAGGAGAGAGAATTGAAATGTAACAAAACACTCGTTACCGACATATATATAAGTACTAGTAGTTGAAGTAATTATATATATATATATATATATTTTTTTTTTCGACATTGCTGTTGGGACATTTGCGGACCTAAAAAAATTAGAACGCTATAAAAAATTTCGTTTTGTTAATTGAGAAAATGGAGGAAAGTTACTCTAAAAAAGAATATATAACTAATAATTTACTAAAAAAGAAAACAATAAATGATTAACTATTTCAAATTTTATAAAGTCCTAAATGGAGCTGTCTCATGAGATTCTAATCCTTAAAGAAATCAAATAATTATAGGGGTCCAATGAAAGAAATTAACAATAACAATAGTACTATCTTTTACCTTAAATCAAATTAGAAATCAAATCAAATTAAATCTTAGCAACCTTATAACTAATTACCGTGAATCTCTCTATTTAAGAGTTTATAAAGACGCCAACCAAAAAAAATAAAATAAAATAAAAAACAATAAGAGTAATGACTGGTACAGAAAATCTCCATCCCTTAGAAAATCACAAATACGTCACCATAAAGAACACTACAGATTATTTAGTCCACCGAAATCTTCGCCATTCTTGCTCTGCTTTTGTGTTCCGTGTTGTTCACAGAATCCGCTCAGAAATTAGTACTACTCCGACGGAACACGCCGTCAGATGGTACTACACTCGCGACGAAATTCATCAGCCATTCGGCAGATTATTGAAGTCCGTCGGCGAATGCGAGGCGGCGGTGGCAAGAATGTTGTCGGACATACGGATCCCATTTGCCTTTAACCGTCGGAATCGTAATTGTCTGCATTGGAAGGAGCTTGAAATTTTCGAATCATCGGCAGAAGTTATAGATCGACATGATCTAGAACCTTGCGCGGCCTCAACGACGTCGTTATGAGGATATCGGAAGCCGCTGCTCGTGTTGCGGCGGCGGCGGCGGGAGATAGGCAGGCTGAGACGGTAATTAGGATTGAGAAGCACACAATAGTACGTGGTATGACTAATGATAATGATAATGATCAAAATTGTAATCATAATAATGGTTGAGATCATAATTCAGAGTTTGACTTGGCGGCGGCGGAGACGGGGGAGCAGTCTGAATCGGTGCAGTCGGCTGTTGAAGAATTGGAGAGGTTGATATACGAGGGAGGTAGTACTGATCATGATGATCATCATAATCATGATGATGAGTCAAAGTTAATGACGTGTGTGATTTGCACGGAAGAAGTGATGATTGGGTCCCAACTCATACGCATGCCTTGCTCTCATCAGTTTCATGAAGATTGCATTCTGCAGTGGCTAAACAAGGCAAATTCATGTCCTCTTTGTCGTTTCAGACCTTCCACTAATAATTGTTTGGTGTCGTCTTTGTTAATTCCAGATTAGCTTTGTTATTATTGTTTATGAATTGGATTTCATGATTAATTTTTTTCCCCCGCTAATTAAAGGGAGACATGCATTTAGATGAACTTTCTATGCAAATCCAGTTCAAATATCTCGTTTCGTTTTTTTAATCACATTAGTTATCTTCTTTTTTATAATTAAAAACCAAAGAACGTGCTTAAAACAATTATTTGACTGTTTTCTTTTTTTTTTCTTTTTTTAATAAATAACTATTTGTTTGTTGGCAGCGTTTAGAGGGGGAGAAAAGTTTATTACTGTCAATTTGTGTTGGATTTTTAGGCGCTCATAATGGTGCATAGTCTAAAAGTCAACATCTGAATTTGATTTGGAATAAAATCCATGAGATGTGACATGAGAAAGTACCCTATTGGAAATATTATGAAATATTTCTAATATATTAATGAATTGAGTAATAATATAACTTACTCTCTGATAAATAATAAGAGATACTTTCCATATTTTTTACTTACTCCCTTTATGATATGTGTGGTTATAAATAGATAAATAGCAAGACACAAATTAAAGAGCGTAACATAAATATGTCAGATTTATGATAGTTTTCTCTCTATGTAGACGCGCGCATGTACCCGGTGGTATATTTTCCTTCAATTTGTATATGTGCATAAATAATATTAATACTAGAGAACATATTAGGAATTTAAATATAGGATTAAAGTGATTTAAATTATTTATTTAAATTCATATTTATCTATTAGGATATATTTGAGTTCTGATTATTTCACATTTATTTAAATTTAAATAGTGCTATTCAGAGTTTGATTACTCTTAGGACTTATGTGCCAATAAATAAACATCTTTAGGTTCATTATTTTTAGACTTTGATCACTGATATTGAATATCCATATTCTGCCTATTGTTTCTCAACTTCTTCTCAATTCCTATCTCGATTCTTTTCTATCTCTTTCTTCTTCAAATACTTGCAACAATGTCCGGTGAACGTGTCTTCTTCGACATGCATCCAATTGAAAGTAACATATACGTCACAGCAGAGGAGTGTATTAGCCCCATATTTGACCCAAACCTTTCAAGCCCTAGGTTTACTTTAAGCATCCGCGCCATTCAAAGAATCCGTTCGGACTCTAACGCCGATGAGGACATCAGAGTAATACACAATTCTTTCCAAGAAATCTCGCACCACTTCGACCCGCTACGAGCATCCGCAGGCGAACGGGAGGCGACCGTGACGGGCATGTTACTATTCCACTTAAACATTCCGTTCTCCATTGACGTGGGAGAAGACGATGTGGATAATCTGTTTTGGAACGTTCTTGACTCTCGTGAACAAGAAGCCTTGCATGGTGGCCTCTACGAGGTCGTGATGAGGATATCGGAGGTCGCCGCACGTAGCGCCGGTGATACTGTCTACAATCGGGCTGTGATATTGATATGGATTGAGAGGCGCTCGACTGTCCCACATGAAGAGTTTCAAAGGTTGGCTGAACATTCAAGAGTACTCCCACTTGTTATTGATAATAATGATGGTGATGATGAAGTTTATGATGATGGTGATGGTGATGAAGATCCATTCGGCTGGGTTTTTCAGAATTTTGGCGAGTCCAGATCTATGCCGGGGGCGGCGGATGAGTCGGTGGTGGAGGCGTTGGAGAGGTTGACATATGAGGAAGTTAGTGATCATGATGATCATCATAATCATGATGATGAGTCAAAGTTAATGACGTGTGTGATTTGCACGGAAGAAGTGATGATTGGGTCCCAACTCATACACATGCCTTGCGCTCATCAGTTTCATGAAGATTGCATTCTGCAGTGGCTAAAGAAGGCAAACTCATGCCCTCTCTGTCGTTTCAGTTTGCCTTCTAGTAATAAGCGTTCAGTGTCTCTTTTAATTCCAGATTAATTAGCTTTGTTATTTACTTAAGTTTTGGACTTCGTGTATTGGTAGACATTCGGATGAACTCTTTTTTTTTTTTACGTGAATCCCATCTAATTATGTATCTTTATCTCGTATCAGATTTTTGTCAATTATATTTTTTTCTCTCTTTTATTTAAAAACCAAATTATTTAGGTTAAGTGTACCTCAATAATGAAGTTTTTTATGCTCTAACTAATAGAACAAAAAGATTAGATCTCACACCATCCATCATACCAGCTTTGGTTTTCACTAAAGAGATTAAAATACAAAATATCTGAGTAATCAAATTTATAATGGAAAACATGAAAAATTGCCAGAGGAAATAATAACAGATATACACTCTATTGACCAAATCAGCCCAACAAGGGCTTCTTTTTCAAATTTAGGCTAATTACTTAAAAGGAAAATGTTAGTCATCTTGAAAAGTTTAAACTTGAATTTCACAAATAGGTGACGTGAAAGAGAATTGACAACTCCACACTGCAATATTTTATCGTTTTCATTTCTTTTTTCTTTAACCTATTTCTTTATACAAACACTTGTTGTTTCTTTTCTTTTCTTCACCATCCAACTCTCTTTTCCCTCATATGATTCTTCCAACCTCATTCTTTAATGTCTGCTCTGAATTCATAGTTCTTTACAAATTTTTTGCACAACCTAGTCAATCTTGGTAGGAATTCGCATGGTCCATTGACTATCTCCCTACAATAGCACAACCAGCTATTATATATTGGAGAATATTGTACATAATTGTAATTTTGTATTTTCTGTATTTATCTTATTTGTTTCCTAGTTTAGATTTTCAATCTCTTAGGTTTCTACTTTCTTGGATATCTCTACTTCTATTTTTTCCCTTTAATTAATGTCAAAAATTTTGTCTCCCCGTTCTTCTTGACATAGTTTTTTTTTTTTTTTCTTTTTTTTTTTTTTTTGAAGAGGAAAAGAGATATTGGATGAATTTGTTATTTTCCATTAAAAGTTTTTGATGAATATAAGGAAGCAGGTATACATGGCCGCATTACTATTCTTCTTCCCCTTTCACCTTTCTTATTCTTGGAACAATTTTCGTGAAATAGTCGATAGGAGGGGGAAAAGAAAAAATATCAAATCAGTATGGAAAATTTAAACTTCAAACTGGCAACAAGAAAAACCTCTTCGAAATCAGATAATCATTTTCATTTTAAAAGTTTGATGGATGGTAGATACGGAAAAGCAAAGAAGGAAAAGAGAAATAGCTGCAGTTTGCAGTGCATATAAAGAAGAAAAAGGAAAATTGAAGAGAAAGTTTGGACTTTTTAGTAATTTTGCATCTGTTAGCGTAGCAGCCTCTTAGCCACGTGCCTCACCTAATCGTTGCAAATCACGAATTTTATTCGTGATGTGTAGGCTCTCTTACTTAGATTAACTTTTTAAAAGAAAAACATATTAACTATTACAATATTTTTATTTATTAAAAAAGGATTAATTTCATTGATGTCTCTTAAATTTTGATGTCATTCCCACTTTACCTCTAAATTTTAAAAACTCTCATGTTGTCCCTTAAATTTTCAATTAATCTCATTTAAACCCTTTTGTAAGAATATGTATTAAAATTAGACCAAGAAAAAGGAGTTATGAGTAGTCATATGCTTTTTATTTGTTTGTTTTTGACGGATTTTCAAACAGATTGACCACGTGATTGTATTATTCTCTTTTTTTCTATTTATTTTTAAACAAAAATTCCAACAGAAAGGATTAAGTGAGAACAATTTAAAATTTAAAAAGGAAAGTGGGAGCTTTTAAAGATCAAAAACAGACTGAGAACGACCCCAAAATCTTAAGGCTATGAGTGATAATAATGCTTAAAAAAAAACCCTATTACAATAATGATTTTAAAAGGATTCCATCGTCTTATCCACTTATATACTTATATGTGCACCCAAGGAATAAGACTAAACAACTAATAACAACATTAATGCCTCCTAAGTTCAACATTCTTTTCTTTTAAAATTCCATGAAGATTTTTCACCCTAGCTTTCCGTTCAAGTATCAAAGACACAGTAAATTGACGACTTAGTTCAAGAAAGAAAAGCCAAATTCGAGTAAAATTCAACAATACTACAGTACTCTCGTTTGTTTTGAAAAAGGAATGTCCTCTACTAATCTATTTCTTTTTTTTTTACTTTCTATCCAAGTTTCCGAAAATACACGTCAAATTGTAAACTTGATATAATAAACCCTAATTAGGCCAAAAGTTATTTAATTATAAATTAAGCACACCTGTTCAGAATAAGAACCACCACTTTACTTGTTAAACTCACTCACTAGTTTTCACAACTCGTCTTTCTCATAATGGCTTGCAACAATCTGGAATACGACACCATGTATACTTCTATGGATGATCAAGATCGCAACATTAATCTCAACGACAACGATGACGTATTTCCATTGGAGGACGAATTACACGACGACGACATCGACTTTCCTGTGGATGACGTAGTTCTTGAAGGCGAGGAGCAGAATCTAAATGATGTTATAGATTCGGGGTTGTTCTTGGCGGCTGAACAGGGCTACTTTTCGGAGCCGGCGTTGCGGGCTGATCTCGTGCTGTGGATTACGGGGGCGACATCAGTTCATGATCATATGTTGGAGGACGCCTCCTTCGATTACGGTTCTGTTTTTGCAAGCGATGATCAGGGAGAGTTAAACAGAGTAATAGGACAGAGTTTTTCGGAGTCGGCGGCGGGGGCGTTTGGATCAGTTCCGGCGGCTAAATCGGTATTGGAGGCTCTAGAGAAGTTCAGATACGAGAGAAGCAATGAATCAGACTTGATGACATGCGTGATCTGCATGGAAGTGGTGATGAATGGGACCCACCTCACTCGTTTGCCTTGCTCTCATGTTTTTCATGTTGATTGCATTATGGAGTGGCTAAACGACAATCATACTTGTCCTCTCTGTCGATTTAAATTGCCTAGCCAGTAATATCTATGTGCTCGGCATGTTTTTTCTTACCTACGCAATTCAAGTTATGACTTGAGTTGTGCAAACCTTAATTTATCGATGTATAATCATGCATTTTTTTTAGAGCCTTTGAGGGCTTCTTGTTGTTTTTTAAATTTATTGTAATTTTTCTTTTATTTAATAAATCAAGTTATCTTCTTATGATAAGTTCTTTAGTAGTTTGATGTGTTAGAGTTCATTGAAGTTAGTTTCTTTCTTTTCATTCATTGAAGAAAGTATTTTTTATTTTTATTTTTCTTTGATGGAGCAAACACTATAGTGCTTAATTATCAATTTTTCATTGATCCTTGCATTAGTGGCTAGTAGATGCAATAACCAATTGAATTAAATGCTTTTGATGTTACAAAACACTCGATAACGTCATAACATATATAATTATTCCTTGCAAACTATTTTCGTTATAAAACACTCATATATTCTTGTCAAAACACGTCCAGGGTACTAAATTATTTACATAGCATTACTTACATAAGGTATTATTGCAAAGTACTTGACTGCATTAGTTTTCAAACAATGATTCCATTTCTCAGCAATTTTTCAGCTACTTAAATATCAGCATTGAATTTGTCTAATTAAACTAGTAATAAGTTAAAACACTGGCTTATGGTAATTAGCTGATCTTCTTTGAAAAGTTCACAAATTAAAGGTTCAAGATGAGGAATAAGAGAAATAGTGTGTTCCTCAAAGATTCATTGACGCTATTAAATGTATTGCTCTGCAACTCATCAGATATGTTAACATTTTCAGTCATAAAAAATAATAGGTCTATAATTAATACTGTCGTTTAATTTCATCCGTCGTCGTTGCACTATAATTAATGCAACTCCAATGTTTGCAAAATATGAATTAACATGGAGTGGCATAATATTTTTTTTCCGCGCATTGTACTATAGATTGACATTACAAAGTTAGCTTGGTAACATGAAGTATTCAATATTACTGATCTATTGATCACCAATTTAAATCCTAAAAAGCAATATTAGCACCAATTCTGTCGCGCCACATCTCATCATGACATTGTTTCCTTATTTCACATCAGTGTAACATTTATGACCATGGCTTAGCTTCAATACATGAACTTATTTTTTAAGTAGAATTGGAAGTAGAATTTTTTCTTGGAAATCTTTTGGTCAAAAAAAATTTGGTTGGAAAATGATCAAGCAATTTTAGCCAAACATAACTTGGATAAAATAAAACCGGGCATAAGCATTAACAGAGAGAATCTACAAAAAATTAATCTAGAAACAATTTACACTAGTTATAACTAATGCCCACTACAAGGGCGCATGACAATCTGTTTCTCTAATGTAATCCTTGCGTTATTTAGTGAATCGTAAATAGCATTTCATGTAAATAAGCTAGAATAATTAATTAACCAAGAAAACTTTCAACATATATATATATATATATAGCTTATAATTTTTTGTCCATACGATCACAATGTTCAATACATGATTCCCATATCAAGTATCCCATGAAGTACAATCACTAACCAACATATAAGATCTCACATTGGTTTTAAATTATATTATCATTTATTATTATTAATTAGTTAATTAAGAATGAGGTAAGGATATGAAAAAAGAATACCATATATACTATTATAACAAAGTTTTTAACCGTGAGATTAAATCAGAATCAATCTGATGGTTAAAAATATGTCCAACAAATAATGATTTTTTTCATACCTAATTCTCCAAGGAATAACTCTAAAAAATAATAATAATAAAAAAAAATCTCTCCAATGAATAAATGACTTATTTCAAATTTTGTGAAGTTCTAATAGGAGTCGGAGAATTAATTCTAAACCTTAAAAGAGTCGAATTAGACGTGTGATCTCCTTCAATCTCTATTTGTATGGCATCTAATTATTCTAAGGGAGAAAGAGAGAAATAGGCCAAGACTTGAGATAAATTAAAATTAATAGGCCAATAGTTTACATAAGTTAATAAATAGGTCAAATTACTGTTTTCGTCCATAACTTGTCTGGTTATGAACCATAAGTTGACAAGTTATTATCCATAATTGTCCATAACTTGTCTGGCTATGAACCATAACTTGACAAGTTTGTCCATAACTTATCTGGTTATGAACCATAACTTGACAAGTTATGGCCTATTAATTTATATAACTAAAAATTAGCCTATGTACTTTCTTAAGCTTTTCATATTAACGTATTTTCTACTATTTCCCTTATTCTAATTGCACCTCACTTCTCACTTCTCATAGTCGTCATGGTTGGGCCTGAAACCTTAAGTGGGCCTAGTATAAAATCGGGTATCCACATATGGGATGTCTTAATTGCACCTCTTTAACATATGGGAGGTCTTAATTGCACCACTTTAAAAGAGATTAGAGGCGTTTTACCAAAATTAAAAAAATAGGAACTAAATTATCACCTACTAAAGAGATTATGAACTATATATATGTGCTAATTACCCTTAAAATATCATCTAATTATCTTTATCTCGTACTGAAGTCTCTTATAAGTTGTTTAGTTTGGTACGAAAGAGAACACAAAGAATAGAAAGAAAATATGTAAGAGATAGAAAATTGAAAGTATAGAATCGTAATAATTTATTTAAGTTGTTTGGTAGATAAAAAGGAAAAAAAAAACCTAAAGATTTGTACAATTGCTATTTTATTCATCTCGTAGTGAAGTCTCTTATAAGTTGTTTAGTGGTATGCTTTTGTAATGAAGGAGGTTGGGTCAATAGTAACACCTGCGCAACACATATTTACAAACAAGGACTTTCTTCGACCAGAACAACTGTTTACAGAAAACCACAAGGATTTGGTAATTGCAGGAGAAAAATGGATGAAGGACACATCAGGTTCTTGTTCTGTTTTGGGTGCTCTAATTGTTACCATCACATTTGCTGCGGCATTCACAGTTCCTGGTGGTAACGATCAAAATATGGGCTTTCCTATATTCAGGAACAAACAATTGTTCAAGGTTTTCTTTATATCAGATGCAATCTCACTGTTTGCGTCAACAACATCAGTTTTAATGTTCCTAGGAATCCTCACATCACGTTATGCAGAAGAAGATTTCTTGAAATCCTTGCCAACAAAGATGATAATAGGCCTCTCCACCCTATTTTTCTCAATAGCAACCATGATGATAGCATTTTGTGCTGCAGTTTCCGTTATGCTTCCAGAGACATGGATTGTTCTTCTCGTCTGCTTACTTGCAAGTGTTCCGATTGCCTCATTTATAAGGATACAGTTTCATCTGTTAGTTGATATCTTCATGTCTACTTATGGACCAAGTATTTTTAAGAGGAACATTAAACCTTGGTTAGATAGCAAACGCCAATAAGATGAAGGTTTGTATTTATATACATATGTGTGTGTGATGTATTCTTGGTACTCCACATTCTGGGGACAATTACTGAATTGTCAAGTTATCAACAGAATTTGTGTGGATGTGTTCGGAAAGCAAATATATATGACTGGATTTTATTTCTGGAGGTATTGAAGTACAGTTCTTTTCAAGTACTTCTTTCATTGGTCAACCTTGTCTTTTTTTTTTATTTATTTTTTATTTTTTATGGAAGAGAGTGTGTAAAGATACAATTCAGGGTGAAAAGAAATCCGACCGAATAATGTTTTTTTCTATCCAAAGAGCAAGTAAGAGTAAATCATGTGACGTTGAAAACAACACATAAGATTTATCATACTGCCTAGAAAAAGAAAATATAGTACTGGGGACAAATCTTGTCTTAAGAAAAGTGATAACAGTTTAGAAGGCATTTATAAAACAACATTACATTCAGGGGGTGTTTTAACCACTTTTAATACTTTTGGAGCCAAAATGATGGGCTCTTTTCAAACCTTAATCGAGATGAATTTGAAGGAAAATATAAAGGAGAAAAGCATATCTCCCTTAAAGCTGAAGACTCGAAGATGACAAGTCAAATGACAAGGAAGATTTGATTGAATCTCTTGCTTAGCTAACCAAGAATTTCAACAAATGGGAGAAGAAACAATAAGATAAGAGAAACGGATAGATTCCTTTACTCATTAAATTGTAAAAGAATTTTCTGATGTGGTAAGGTCTCTCATTCGCGGAACAGAAAGGGGGCAAGGTACAAGGGATAGTTACATTTGATTCCCTTTCTTGAAGTTAAGTATATATGCAACATTCAGAAGCAAAAAAGTATATATGTAACATTAATGTTGTCAAAACCCCTATTTTGTGCCATTTTATGTTGTAAAGAGGAAAGTGAGACAAATCCTATTTTACGAGGTCAAATTTGGGATTAACCCTTCTCTAGCTATATATATTTGCATAAATGCTGAAAAATTGAAATGGCAGGGAGTGATCAAGAGATCACAAACTTTAGACAGCATCGGCTCCTGTTTGACGCTGTCAGACATGGTAATTGGGAGACCGCTAAGACGTATCTTCACCAACATCCTGATGCAGTGAGAGCGAGAATCGATATTTCGGGCAAGACTCCACTTCACGTCGCAGTGAGTGATGGACATTTGCACATTGTGGAGGAGTTGGTGCAATTAATGACTGAAGAAGACCTGCTGACGCGACGGAAGGATGGTTTCACAGTTCTCGCAGCTGCCATAGAAATTGGAAACATTTCCATCGCCAAATGCTTGATTAGAAAGAACAAGAAACTACTTAGCATTGAGCGTAGAAGTTCTGAAATTCCAGTTATCATTGCTGTCCGTTTAAACTTTCACGAAATGGCTCGTTATCTTTATACAGAAACACCAGAAGAAGATCTAAAATTGCGAGATAATGGCAAGATAGGCTCTTTCCTCATCAGCGAATGTATATACCGAAATCATTTTGGTAAGGATTCTACATAAAACAAATATATATCTGGATAGTCTAATGGTTCTGTCAGGAAACGTATAGTGTATATGACCTTGGACTATGCTCGCTCATATAAACGTACAGTACCAAGGTTTTTGAAACGAAGTCTGGCTCTTTCCTTTTTCTTTCCTTTGTTTTTCTTTTTATTATATATATATATATATATATATGTATGTATGTATGTTTTTTATAATCAGTTTTGTAAAATCTGTGAACTCTTTTATATATATTCATATTAATATTATGTAACACTACAGATATCTCCATCCATTTGCTCGAGCGTTCGCCAGGTCTCGCGATTATTGTGGATTCTCTTAACAGATCCCCCGTGTGGGCATTAGGACGAACTATTATGAATTGGACACTCGCAATAACTTGTTACACAAGGCAGCATCAATACCATCTTCAAAAATACTCAATCTCATCCCAAGAGGCGCAGCTCTACAAATGCAGAGAGAACTACAATGGTTCAAGGTAACACTGTATGACATATAACCAAGCACCTAATTATATAAACTATAATTCAAATATAATGATAAAATTCGAAAGCTTTCTCTCATAACTTTGATTTTTTTTTTAGGTTATTATACCAGATTTGTATAGCCTTCAAATTTCAAAGTCATGCTAAATCCTTCCCTTTTTTCGATCAAAGATTGTATTGGACTATGAGATTTACCAAAAAATGTTCTCCACATTTTTGAATTTTTTATTTTGTTCCTTTAGGGTGCTCAAGGCTTTTTGTTGTCAAATTGATCATTAACCAAGAAAAACGTATGAATTTAGGACAATTTTGAAACTTGAATGTTGAAATTTAAAATAGTCTAAAATAGAAGGTATAATTTTACAAATAGGAGATTAGACGGTGCCTATTTAATAATATTTTATAAAAAAAATTGCCTTCTAATGTGTTAAAAAAAGGCACCGTGAAGACTTTCGTGTTTTGAAAATTTGTACGTGCACAACAGATAACGAGTTTCTTGAAAACCATCTCTAATGCCAAAAAGTTTCTGAAAAAAGAAAGCGGACTTTTTTCTGTTCATTTATTTTCCAAAAATTTTTAAAGTTTTAATCTCTTTTTTAACTTGGAGCTCTCTCACAAACTCTAAGTTTTTTTTTTTTTTTTTTTTTTTTCATTTAAATCCCCCCATTATCTCTCCTAAGTGCTCTCTTTCTTCTAAACAACCTAACTCTCTCTCTCTCTCTCTCATTCTTCCGCAACACTTAAAAGATTTTCTCCAAAATCTCATCTCTTCTATATTCTTGATCAATCCTGTTAATACACACCCCTCATTCTCTCAACCAGCCGCCTCTACAATCCTTATAGCCATACCCATACATCGTCCGTCGTGACCGTACCATCATATCCACCACCACACTTTGACCACTGAAATTGGAGTGCTTTTATAATCTTTTCAGATTTCTTTTCTTTGAAATTAAGTTTTTTTTTTGTTTGGATTTTAGAATTTTCTGTGTATTTAAGTATTTTTGGCGTTAGATTTATCATGTTTTAGACATTTAATAACTCTAGATATAATTACAGTTTATTAAACTCTCATTATATCTTTTAACGACGGTCTTATCTCCTATTTTTATAGTGGTGGATGTAATACAGGATATAAAAATGAAATAACCCATTTTTAAAAAAAAAAAAATATGGCACACCAAACGCGCGTCTTTAGTAAATAGAATAGGAAAGAATGACAATTTTAAACTTTGCGTTAAAAAGATGAAGGAAACAAGTAAAAAGCTCTTAGTTGCTTTTGGAATGTTATACACTAAAAAAATTTAATATAATATAACATCCGAATCTGATAGAAAACCAAATACTTAATTGTATAAAACAGAATTCCAATACAACAATAAAATTCAATAAAATACGGCACACATGTAAGAAAGAAATGACAAGTTTAAAGTTGTGTTTAAAATTACACAAGGAAAAAAAATAAGAACGTACAAGGAAAAAAAAAGGACTAGCAAAAAAAAAGAAAACAAAAAGAGAAAGTCTACGGTAGGGCGTTTTTTTGTCCCTACTGGTATGGTAAAATTATGAGCACTGTTAGATTGAGGGTTCATTTAATAGATAAATCTAGAATCATGATTATGGATCCTAGTTTAGAATTAATGTTCATTTACAGTGATTCTGAATCATGATTTGAATGATTATAAATCATGATTCAGAATCTGATGTGATGTTTTAAACCAGAATCACTCATGATTCTAAAACCACATCCCTTTTGATTCAAGGTGATTCAAACTCTTAATTTTGAATCATAATTTCAGAATCATGATTTGAACCCAAAATCATGAATAATGATTATGATTTTAGAATCATGATTAGAATCACCATGATTTGAATCCTCGTACCAAAAGAATGATATAAAGACCTCATTCATTTAACCGATTCGAGTTTAAAATTTGAGTAGGCGTTTGATAGATGGATCCAGAATCGTGATTCTGGATCTTGATTCATAATCACTGTTTGTTTATAGTGATTCAGAATCAGATTCATAATCAGTATTTGGTTTGGATAATTCTAAATCATGATTTGGATCTGATGTGATGTTTTAAACTAGAATCACTCAAGATTTTAAAACCACCCCCATCTTGATTCAAGATGAGTCAAACTCCAGATTCTGAATTATGGTTTCAGAATAATGATTTTAACCTAAAATCATGAATCATAGTTCTGGTTCTGGAAATAATCACTTTGATTTGAATCTTCATACCAAACGAACCCAGAGTTTTTTTTACAATAAAAAGCTCTTAAAAACAGTCACATCTAATTTTTTTTTGCTACAGTCACTTCTAAACTCGAATTGGTGAAATGAACGGGACCCTAAGAACGTAGAAAGAAAAAAAAAGAACTAATAAGAAAAAAAGAATAAGAAAAAGGAAAACTCTACGGTAGAGCCGTCCTTTTATCCCGACTGGAAGGGTAAAATTATGAGCACCGTTAGATTAAAAAATCTAAGGCCCAAAATGATGTTACCTAAAATGATATAAAATGATTTCACTTGATACAATTTCGATTTTAGTCCCCAATTTTCATTCCTTTTCTCTGGCAAAAATTTTTTTTTTCCTTGCCTTAAAAAAAAAAAAAAGAAATTAACAATTTACTGTAAAAATTTAAAATTAAAAATTCGAATCAGTAAAATGAATGAGCCTCTGATTATCTTTATACCAAGCTGTTATTGTAATCTTGCCCTCTATTGGTATCGTTCTCGGTTGGAAGCTGCCGCAATAAAGAACCCATAAATAATTTCTCTTGTCCCTGCTCTTTCAATGGGTCTGACAGCTTCCAACCGCAATAAATTACAAGGATTAGGTGTTTTAGCACGTATTATCTCAATTTAAATCACTGGGGCCCACATGCAATTTCCAACCGGTAGGGGGAATTTGCATTCGTGACGCATACATGCCCATAATAGAAGGAAATTAGTGGAATACCCGTGTATTTATATGGATATGTAATACTTTAATTAACAGTAATTTA